ACAGAGAAGATCTAAATGACCTTGGATTTGGCAGTCACTTTTAAGAAACAACCCTGAGGCATGATCTGTGAAAGAAAGAATAGATAAGCTGGACTTTATTACAATGAAAACATGTCTGCTTTGCAAAATACATTTCAAGAGAATGAGAAAACAAAACCGAGACTTGGAGAAAATATATTTGCAAAATACATATCTGACAAAGAAATGTTGTATACAAATAACTCTTACAACTCAACAATAAGAACATGACTTGATTAAAATATGGACCAAAGTCCTTGACAGACAACTTTCCAAAGACGATACACAGATGGTATATAAGCATATGAAAAGATGTTCCATATCATATGTCATCAAGAAAACGCAAACTGAAATAATGAGATACCCCTACATACTTATTAGAATTGCCAAAATTTGGAACATTGACAATACCAAATGCTGCCAAGGATGTAGAGCAACAGAAACTCATTCATTGATCATGGGAATGTAATGTGGCACAGCCACTTTGGAACATGATTTGGTAGTTTCTCATAAAACTAAACACATTCCTGACATATGATCCAGCAATCACACTCCTTGGTATTTATCCAAAGGACCTGAAAGCTTATGCCCACCTAAAAACCTGCACATAAATTTTTATAGCAGCTTTATTCATACTTCCCAAAACTTGGAAGCAACCAAGATGTCCTTCAGTAGGTAATGGATAAATAAACCATAGTACATCCAGACAAGAGGAGGTTATTCAGTGCTAAGGAGATATCAGCTATCCAGCCATAAAAATAAATGGAGGAAAACTTAAATGCCTATTATCAAGTGAAGGAAGCCAATCTGAACAGACTACACACTGTATGATTCCAACTGTGACAGTCAGGATTAGGCAAAACTGTGAAGATAATAAAAAAGATCTGTGATTGCCAGGCATTACAGGAGAGTGAGCGGGGAAGAGGCAGAGCACAGAAGATTTTTAGTGCAGTGAAACTCTTCCATGTGATACTATAATGGTGGACACTGGTCATTATACGATGGTCAAACACATAGAAATGTACAACACCAAGAGTGAACACTAATGTAAACTATGGAAGCTGAGTGATAATGATGTGTTCATGCAAGTTCATCAGTTGTACCAAATGTACTAATCTGGTGGGGGATGTTCATAATGAGGGAGGTTATGCACATGTAGGGCAGAGGATATATGGGAAATCTCTGCACTTCTCACTTAATTTTGTCATGAACCTGTACTTGTTTTAAAAAGTAAAGTCTTTTAAAAATAAATAAATAAATAACAAATAAAATAATATGACTTGTATTTCTATTTAGTAGTAATGAACACATGAACAACAAAATAAAAATAAGATCCCATTTACAATCACTTTAAAAATGAAGTATCTAAACACCAAAAGCAATGGCAGCAAAAGCCAAAATTGACAAATGGGATCTCATTAAACTAAAGAGCTTCTGCACAGCAAAAGAAACTACCATCAGAGTGAACAGGCAACCTACAGAATGGGAGAAAATTTTTGCAATCTACTCATCTGACAAAGGGCTAATATCCAGAACCTACAAAGAACTCAAACAAATTTACAAGAAAAAAACAAACAACCCCATCAAAAAGTGGGCAAAGGATATGAACAGACATTTCTCAAAAGAAGACATTCATACAGCCAACAGACACATGAAAAAATGCTCATCATCACTGGCCATCAGAGAAATGCAAATCAAAACCACAATGAGATACCATCTCACACCAGTTAGAATGGCGATCATTAAAAAGTCAGGAAACAACAGGTGCTGGAGAGGATGTGGAGAAATAGGAACACTTTTACACTGTTGGTGGGATTGTAAACTAGTTCAACCATTATGGAAAACAGTATGGCGATTCCTCAAGGATCTAGAACTAGATGTACCATATGACCCAGCCATCCCATTACTGGGTATATACCCAAAGGATTATAAATCATGCTGCTATAAAGACACATGCACATGTATGTTTATTGCGGCACTATTCACAATAGCAAAGACTTGGAATCAACCCAAATGTCCATCAGTGACAGACTGGATTAAGAAAATGTGGCACATATACACCATGGAATACTATGCAGCCATAAAAAAGGATGAGTTTGTTTCCTTTGTAGGGATATGGATGCAGCTGGAAACCATCATTCTTAGCAAACTATCACAAGAACAGAAAACCAAACACCGCATGTTCTCACTCATAGGTGGGAACTGAACAATGAGATCACTTGGACTCGGGAAGGGGAACATCACAAACCGGGGCCTATCATGGGGAGGGGGTAGGGGGGAGGGATTGCATTGGGAGTTATACCTGATATAAATGACGAGTTGATGGGTGCTGACGAGTTGATGGGTGCAGCACACCAACATGGCACAAGTATACATATGTAACAAACCTGCACGTTATGCACATGTACCCTAGAACTTAAAGTATAATAATAAAAAATAATTTAAAAAAAATGAAGTATCTAGGCGTAACAACAAAACAGGGGCATGTATGCTGAAAACTAGAAAGTGCTGATGCAGGAAATCAAAGATTGAAATAAATGGAGAGACATAATGTATTCATGGATTGTAAACAAACACAGTAAATATGTTAATTTCCTCAAGTTGTTATACAAGTTCAATACAATTGCTATCAAAATCCAAACATGATTGTAGGTATTGACAAGATTATTCTAAAAAGTATATGGAAAGGCAAGAGAACTACAATAACTAAAGCAATCTTCAAAATGATTAATAAAGTAAGGAGAATTAATCTACCCAATTTTAAGATTTATTATAGAGCTACAGCAATCCAGAGTGTGTTGTATTGTACAACGTGGTGACTACAAGAATAAGAATGTATTGTATTCCTGAAAATTGCTAAGAGACTAGATTGTAAGTATGCTCACCAGAAAAGACTGATGGGTATGTGGGTAATACCTGTAGCAGTTAACTCTGTTTAGCCATTCCACAATGTAGATATATTTCAAAACAACATGTCGTACAAGATAAATACATACAATTTTTGTCAATTAAAATAATGTTAAAAACCAAATAAAAATACATTACAGATATCATACAACCACAAAAATGTATCAAAATTATACAAAAGAATACAAAAAGACCAAAAACTGTCCCATGTTCAGTGAAAAAAACAAACTCTCCTCAACCTCCATATCCCCTGTGTGAAGGTACGCTGGACAAAGATTGAGGAGTATAGATTAAACAAAGGAAGGGTGCTAAGAACTGTAACATATTTCCTTGTACTCTGAATAGAACACCAGTTTCCCTGAAATCAAGTTCTCCACCTTACTGAGAGATGGTTCCAGTAATCTTTTATTAGAGAGATGGGAAAAAAAAAGACTGTGTGATATTGGCTGCAAGATGGACACTTATATCACTATGACAGAATGGAGAACCCAGAAACAGACCCACAAAAATATGTCCAACATTTTTAACAAAACAGCAAAAGCAACACAATGAAGGGAAGACAACCTTTTCAACAAATGGTACTAAAGTGATTGGACATCCATAGGAATAAAAAGAAAGGAAGGAAGGGAGGGAGGGAGGGAGGGAGGGAAGGAAGGGAGGGAGGGAGGGAGGGAAGGAGGAAGGGAGGAAGGAAGGAAGGAGGCCCGGTGTGGTGGCTAGTGCCTGTAATGTTAGCACCTTGGGAAAGCCGAGGTGGGTAAATCACTTGAGGCCAGAAGTTTGAGGCTAGCCTGGCCAAGAAAACCCTGTCTATACTACAAAATACAAAAATTAGCCGGGCATGGTGGTGTGTGCCTGTAATCCCAGCTACTTGGGAGGCTGAGGCATGAGAATGACTTCAACCCAGGAGGCAGAGGTTGCAATGAGCTAAGACTGCATCACTGCACTCCAACCTGGGTGTGGGCAACAGAGTGAGACTCTGCCAAAAAAAAAGGAAAAGAAAGAAAGAAAGAAGAAAAAAAGAAAGAAAGAAAGAAAGAGAGAGAGAGAGGAAGGAAGGAAGGAAGGAAGGAAGGAAGGAAGGAAGGAAGGAAGGAAGGAAGGAGGGAAGAAAGGAAAGAAAGAGAGAAAGAAAGAGGTGAAGGAGGGATAGAGGGAGAAACAGAGGGAGGAAGACAAGGAGAGAGGGGGACGTCAATCCAAGGTTCACATCTTATACAAAAATTAACTCAAAATGGATGATAGACTTGAATTAAAATGTAAAACTATAAAATTTTAGAAAAAACAGAAGAAATGTTTGCAATCTTGGACTAGGCAAAAAGTCCATATACTTGATACCAAAACACAATATATTAAAAGAAGATTGATAAACTGGACTTCACCAAAATGGAAAATTTTGCTCAGTGAAAGACCCTGTTAAGAGTATGAAGAGACAAGCTACAGACTGAAAGAAAATATTTACAGATCACATATCCAATGAAGGACTCGTATCTAGTATGTATAATGAACCCTCAAAACTTAACAGTCAAAAAACAAACAAACAATCTAATTAGAAAATGGGCAAAAAATCAGTTTTAATTTGTGGGGTATAACACAGTATAAAAACTTTGAATAGATCTTATGTGCAGCCATTGCATTGTTAGTATTTTATAATATTGTGTGGTTTTGGTTCTTGGTGCTGTCTTAATCCTCTCAGGCTGCTACAGCAAAATATTGCAAACTAAAGGGCTTATAAACAACAGATATGTATTTCTTACAGATCTGGAGGCTGGAAAGTCCAAGAGCAAAACACCAACAGATGTGATGTCTTGTGAGGGTCTGCTCTGGTTCATAGGTGGCACCTTCTGGCTGTCCTCATAGGGTGTAAGGGGGCTAACTAGAACTCTGAAGTCTCTTCTGGGGCACTAAGGACACTAATCCCAATCATTAACCTCTGCTCTCACGGCCTAATTACCTCCCCAAATCCCCATCTCCTAATACTGTCACCTTGAGAGTTAGGATTTCAACATATTAATTTGGAGGGACAGCAGAGATTTCAGCTGGGAGCCAAGGAGGAGGCTGAGGAACGTGCCTCTTCAGGTGGGAAACTCACAGATGGCCAGGAAGCAGGAAATGCACGAGATGTCATTCCAGAGCCTGTCCTTCAGGAGAATCACACAGTCCTCCCCTGAGCCATGGTCGTGTGACTCATCCTTCTTCCAATTGCTGTAGGTCAGTCTCCCGCCCATCATGTACATGAACTGGCCTTTGGTGGCCTCATCTGTGATGCCCAGAAAAGCACTGTCTTTGGTCACATCCTGGATGGCCTTATTCTCCTCGGCATTCTTGTGGGCAGCCACTGTGACCTGGAGCCCAGCACATAGATTCTTCACTTTGGAGAAAGGCATCCCCTCACCGTTGGTCACAAAGAGCTTCTTCCCAGACATTTTCCAGGAAGGAAGGAGGGAGAGGGAGAGGGAGAGGGAGAGGGAAAAGAGAGAAAGAGAGAAAGAGAGAAAGAGAGAAAGAGGGCCGAGCGCGGCGGCTCAAGCCTGTAATCTCAGCACTTTGGGAGGCCGAGATGGGCGGATCACGAGGTCAGGAGATTGAGACCATCCTGGCTAACTTGGTGAAACCCCGTCTCTACTAAAAAATGCAAAAAAACTAGCCGGGCGAGGTGGCTGGCGCCTGTAGTCCCAGCTACTCGGGAGGCTGAGGCAGGAGAATGGCGTAAACCCGGGAGGCGGAGCTCGCAGTGAACTGAGATCCGGCCACTGCACTCCAGCCTGGGCGACAGGAAAAGACTCCGTCTCAAAAAAAAACACGAACGAATGAACGAACGAACGAACGAACGAACGGAAAGAAAGGAAGAAAGAAAGAAAAGGAAGGAAGGAAGGAAGGAAGGAAGGAAGGAAGGAAGGAAGGAAGGAAGGAAGGAAGGAAGGAGGGAGGGAGGGAGGGAGGGAGGGAGGGGAGGAAGGAAGGAAGGAAGGAAGGAAGGAAGGAAGGAAGGAAGGAAGGAAGGAAGGAAGATAGGAAGATCACAAAGGGTGAGTGAGGCTGGCTGGATTTGGAGCCTAGCCCAGGACAGTAGGCAAGTAGTCTGAGTTCTCTGGGAAGTCAGACCTCTGAAAAAATCACCCTATGTCCAGTAGTTCAGTCCAGAGCCTGGTCAGGAAGCAGACCTCAGCTGTAGAGCCTAGGAAGGGGCGTCCAGACCCCTGCAGACAGCCCAGACTCCCCTGGGATATCCCACCTTGAAAAAGCATCTGCTAAAACCTGCCCCAGCACAGGTGCACATAGGGAGACAGTCTTGGGCCCCACTGCAGGCTTGGGCACCAGGATAAGGAAGAGGCAGGGACAGACATCAGAGCACAGTAGATAACAAGGAAGGAGCACAGACTTTGGAGAGGACAGACCTCCATCCAAACCCTCCCCTGCCACTTGCCAGCTGTGTGACCTGAAATGAGTCACCAACACTTCCTGCACCTCGGTTTCCTCACCTGTCAATAAAGCAAGTTCAACAACCACAACTGAGGTTGCTGAGAGGATTGAATGAAACCATCTTATGGGAAAATGCCACCCAGCACAGGCCCTGGTGTAGGACACGTGTTCATGAGTTAGTTCCCCTCCCACCTCCTCCAAACCTAGAGTGCACTGAAGAAAAGAGTGAGAGCCAAGAACACCTTATGGGCAGAGAGAAAGCTCACGCTTCCTCATGTGGTCCAGTTCTGATCTCAGGCTCTGTAGCTGTCTCTCTAAGTTGGCCAGCTTAGCCTCAGCAACTGCAAAGCAACAGGTAGAAGGTATTTATGGAGAAGACCTTAAGTTGGAGAGTGGAGCATTTTGAAAAAAACAAAGTGGCTTACTAAGAAGAACGCTTATTCCAGAAAAATAAGAAAGCAAAAGAAATAAAAGGGGGAAAATGACTACATTCCTGCTTCCCAGCTATACCTCTGCATCCCTTCACAACCCGGAACTTCAGGCCTGGACTCCTGTCTCCACATACAGCTTGCATATTGTCATATTGTAAGAATTCATAAGCAAATACTCAACTCATTACTCTTCTTTCTGAAAATTTTTCTTTTTTCTCTTTTTTTTTTTTTGAGGCGGAGTCCTGCTCTGTCACCCAGGCTGGAGTGCAGTGGCTCAATCTCGGCTCAATGCAACCTCCGCCTCTCGGGTTCACGCCATTCTCCTGCCTCAGCCTCCCGAGTAGCTGGGACTACAGGCGCCCGCCACTACGCCCAGCTAATTTTTTGTATTTTTAGTAGAGACGGGGTTTCACCATGTTAGTCAGGATGGTCTCAATCTTCTGACCTCGTGATCCGCCCGCCTTGGCCTCCCAGAGTGCTGGGATTACAGGCGTGAGCCACCACGCCTGTCCTAATTTTTTGTATTTTCAGTAGAGACTGGGTTTCACCATGTTAGCCAGGGTGGTCTCAATCTCCTGACCTCATGATCTACCCGCCTCGGCCTCCCAAAGTGTTGGGATTACAGGTGTGAGCCACTGCGTCTGGCCTGAAAACTTTTCTTCGTCATTCATTTTCATTTCTCATTCCAGATACACTGTTTAATACGTTTATTGTTTTGATAGGCTGGTAGGCAAATATGAATAAGTAGGTTGTCATTGTTCTTTTGTTCTTACTGAGTTTGCTCTATTTTTCTCTGAACTAAGTTGCTGTGATGTTCCCCGTCACCCAGGAGTACTAAGAGGCAGAACGTTTTCATGCCACTCTTGTGACAATGGACATAAACCCAACCCCTAAAGGGCCTATTTCCTCCCTGGCACCCCGGAGGTGCACACTGGACTGTTTCCACTGAAGAAAAGCCAGGGCCCATCTGCTAAGGGGCCTGACAAGGGAATGGCCCTACATGGCTTGAACGTCTGCATCTGGGCACCTATGGGAGTCCCCTCAGGCCCCAAGTAAAGCTGAGAGGGCTGGCAGTGCTGGGCCAGGAGGCAGAATTGAGCATCTTCCCATGAGGCAACAGGAGAAGCAAGAGAAGGGTACCTTCCAGCGGCCCTCCAGCTCCCCAGGACCTGGGACCCTCAGGCCACCCTGCTGAGGTACGCCCCTTACCTGAATTGTCCCAACGATCTCCTTTTTGTCCCCTTGGTCCTGGAATTCCAGGAGCCCCTGTGTTTCCTGGGAGCCCCAACTTCCCAGGAAGGCCCTGCAAACCTCTGAACCCTTGACAAAGTGACCCAGTGGCTGTCACTCATTTTTTCCCCAAAAATCTCAATACTCCATTCATGTTCACCCCTGGAACAGCCAGCGAGCTAATGGTGACCCAAAGAAAAAAGACCCCCAACTCCTGCATCCCAGAGGAGGGCCTGCACCAAGGCCAGCTCCCTAACCAGACAGGACACCCCTCTGTAGGGACAACCACACATCCCTAATTCCTGTGTGAAATTATGGGATCCCGGAGAGTCAGCAAGCAGCTTTGTTTTGGAGACAATGGCATTTTACAGGGATTGTTCTGAGTGTAGCATGGGTCCTGATGAAATGGGAGCCTCCCCAAGTCTGTGCTCGCACCCTCATGTGGAAGAGATGCCTGCTGGAGGTGGAGATTCAGAAAGACACAGGTCAGACCTGGATGTCCCTTTTCCCCATTGGGTCCATCTCACCCATCTCTGCCTGGGATGCCATTGGGTCTCCAGCACAGTGCTAGGCAGCTCTTTACATTAGTGCCCTCACCCCATCCTGCACTTCTCCCTCCCAGGCATTTGTCTCCACAGCTAAGCACCTCTGAGCCTCCAGAGTCACAGGTTCTCAGGGTAGCTTTCTGCAAATATTTATTTCCAGAAAAAGCATGCATAGATCTTCCACCAGACAAACACATGCACACACACACACACACACACGAACACACACACATGCATGCGTACAATTGACTACTTCCATTTGTGTTTTGTTCATTGCAGGGCCAGGGTGGAGAGACTAAAAACCCCCAGCACTGAGTCACATCCTTCATCTCTTCTCGTTTAGAACCTTTGTCAAATGTCTTGTTTGGACATCTCACCAGGCCAGGCACAAGGAGAAGGGGTATTTGCAGATGACTTCAATCCACAGCTGAATGTGGGCATTGGCACCTGCTGCTCCCTCTGCCTGGACATTTCCCTGCATCTCTGCCTGCTTATTTGTTGTCACTCAGCTTTCAGCTTAAATATTATCTCAGGAGAAAGGTCTTTGCTAACCCTGTAATTTTAAGTAGTCACTCAGTTGTAATTCTCTGTTCTAATTTTCTGCCAATTATAGCTTCCACGTGGGACTGTTTTGTTTATTTGGTTGCATATCAATTGATCACCCACCCCACTCCTATAGAATGAGAAGCTCATGAGAACAGGGGTCTTGTTCCCCAGCTGTTGTTTCTCCACCAAGAAGAGTGCCTGGAAACAGAGTCGATGCTCAATAAACATTTATGGAACAAATGAATCCTCCAGCAGCGTGTCCTCAAATCAGCCCTCTTCTCTCTGGCTGGAGCTACCATCTGTGCCCCCTTTACCAGTGACCTCACTTTTCTATTCTCAGTTCACATCTTTGTCCCCAGGGTGCAAACCAGGGCTGGGCACACAGGAGGATTGGGTGCGAGGGAGAGGAGAGAGGTAGAGACCTCGAGCAGACACCAGATCATCAGTGCTCGTCCAGGCCTGAGTTTCCAGAAGTGTCCAGTTCTTGTCACCAGAGCCTAGTCAAGCTGCCTAGATCCCGGATGTGAGCTTTAATGCTTGCTTTCCTCCAAACTCACACCCATTCTTTGAAACACTTCATGTCACCAAACAGCTTGAGAGGTTTGTTTTTCCCAGGTGGTGAGTGGGGTGGGTCACTTCCCTGTGACTCTGCCTTGTGATGGGAGTTTTGGCTTCTCAAGGGTCCTCATCCTTGTGTACTCATGTCATCAGGCCCTGTCCAGCGGCCCTCTGGTTCCCATTCAGGGGGCCTTCCAGGCATCAAGAGGTGCTTCAATGGTAAATAAGATCCCTCTCAAGGCTGTGTCTCCTGATGCCATTGACACAATGCTGAGGGGCCCATAGGCCCAGAGGACAAAGGACTTTCGATTCGTTTAGCAAATAGGCAGACCTCCCAGGAAGGTGGGAATGTGAAACTGACAGATTTGCATTGAGTCAGGATCCTAACTGTGCTACAGACTTAGAGAAAGGGTGGTTTTGAGTGGGGAGAGGGTAAGCAGAAGGTAAATATACCTAGGAGCAAAGGAACCTGAGAAAACCTGGATTCTGGAGGGGACGAGTTTCTCCCCCAAGGATGTGTACCCATAGGTCTGTCTTCTCATAGACTCGGAAGTGAATTTATGCTGTTCTTACGACTATTACTGAATTTTGCTATTTATGCCAAGATGAAAAATTGTGTTTCCAGTGTCTCAGCGTGGCATGATCTCCCGCACTGTGGAGACTTAAATGCAGTGGAGATACCACAGCCCAGGCACCTCAGTGGTGTCTCAGATGGAGGCCAGGCAGATTTGAGTTCATGATGGGACAATTATCAAATACAGTAGGGGATAAGCAGAGTGAGAGCTGATAGAAATGACAAGCCTCAGAAATAGTCCTCCAAGGAGTGTGGACCCTACATGACAGATAAATTAATATGCACTTCAAAAGAGGGTATAATGAAGGAATAAATGAAAATTATATAATTAAATTAATAAACTTGAATTAAAAATAACTATAGTGCTAATAAAATAAAATACTGGTTCTTTGTCAGAGATATAAACTTAGCAAATATGGCTGTAGTAGTTTTGAGTTGTTTCCTCCTTGTTGTAAAATTATATCTCAGGCCCTTTGCCATAGGACTTCACAAAGGCTTCCACTAGAGTGTGAGGAGTAAACACTCCAGCCCCTTTGCTGTTTGGTGTGGCCATGTGACCCTGAGCTGAGACGAAGGGAGCAGCAGCTTAACGAGTGCTTACAGGTTTGCTATGGCCTTTGTGTTTCTTTCCCAATCATGGGAAGTATGCATCCCTGGAAAGTGATATGGAACAGTCATGAACTCACCTGAAAGTCTGTTCAGCTGACTGCTGCTGAGTCCAAGCCCACTCAGCTGAAATCAGCCAAAGCTCAACAAACTGGAAGATCCAGAGCAGGAAATAAACCGTTTACTGTTGTAAGCCCTTGAGAGGGAAATTTACTGTTGTGTTAGCTGACTGATACAATATCAATGATTGATAGAAAAGGTATAAGGAATTAACAAACCAGCCCAGGAGCAGTGGCTCACACCTGTAATCCCAGCACTTTGGGAGGCCGAGGCAGGTGGATCACCTGAGGTCAGGAGTTCAAGACCAGCCTGACAAACATGGTAAAACCCCATCTCTACTAAAAATACAAAAATTAATTGGACGTGGTGGTGCATGCCTGTAATCTCAGCTACTTGGGAGGCTGAGGCAGGTGAATCGCTTGAATCCGGGAGGCAGAGGTTGCAGTGAGCTGAGTACGTGCCACTGCACTCCAGCCTGGACTACAAAGGGAGACTCCATCTCAAACAAACAAGCAAACAAACAACAATGAACAAATCAGGAAGAAAAGGGATTATTATACTAGGACAGATGGTCCTGACATTATAAAATCACACTATGTACAGTTAATTTTATAGCAACACATTGAAAAATTAGGTAAAATATATAATATTATAAGAAAGTTTAGAATTATTTAAGTTGGCCCAAGAATGATTGATATATCAGAGTAATTGATATATGACTAATCATAAAATACAGAAATGGAAGTCAAAAATTAACAACCATCCCTCCATCAACAAAATGGTTTTAAGGTGAGTTGTATAAAATCTTCAGAGAAGAGACTACTCTCGTACAGAAATGGTTTATATCTAAAAAACTACTTAGCTGAGATGATTAGCTGAACATATAATTCAGAATGGATAAGGATTGAACAAAAGAAGGAAACTTTTAGAAAATCTAATTTATAAGCAGAGAGGCAAAAATATAGTTTAAAAAATAACTATTAGAGTTCAGCCCTGTATTCATGGTTAATAGCAGTCTCTGGAATCTGACTTCCTACATTCATTAGCCCATGAACTAGCTGCATAATATTTGGAAAATCACTGTAACCTCTATATCCCTTGACATTCTTATTTGTAAATAGGGGAAAATAATAGCACCTATAAAATAGGGTTAATAAGTTTAACTAGTATAGTGCCTACCCTATAGGATGTGTGATGAGCATATATAGCATCAGACCGAGTAGGTATATCCAAGGAATGCAAGGATGGCTCAACATCAAAAAGTAAATCAATGCAAATCACTAGTTTAATAAAGAGCAGGTTTTATTAAGAGCCTAATTCAGATCCATGCAATCTTGAAGCTTGAAGCCTGTTCCCAAAACTAATACATGGTCTGAAAATTCTTCATACATTGTTTCCCAGACTCCTGTAATGCAAACTTTCTAGGGTTGATTTCAAACACAGTCCAAACAAATGACATTGTCCTCCAGTTTTGTCATTTCCACCACTCAGGCCATAGAGTGGTAGCTCAGCTTGAAGCTGTTGCTACTTGAAGTGAAAGGTTGGGCAGTGGCCTACTGTCTTATTTCTTTGCATGTGCAGAGGGTAGAGAGAATGCTGTTGGTGCCAATGGTGGGCAATACCTGCTCACAGGAGGAACCACATGTCAGCAGGTACACTACTGCCTCTCAGCCCACACTGACTGGTTGTGTGACTAATTACAAATGACAGTTCCTTTCAGCAGCTGGTTCTTCAGGAAAGACTCTATGATTGCCTCTAGCTGCATGTCCCTTACCCTCACCTTTGCACCAGTACACATTTCAGTCCATAATGTCTTGTTGCTGGGGTCCCTGAGTTTCAGGAAGCAACTTGCTCGTGAGTAGGGTGTGAACCCCAGGCAGCTTCTGTGATACTGGCATTCACATAGCCCCCTAGGAAACTCAATCCACGGTGTTGCAATCCACATTGCCCCAAAACACTCCTGCTCACAGCTTTGTCCTTCCTCTTCTTCTCCCCATGCTCCATAAAATCAGTCCATCTGCTGGTTCCAAATGTCAGAATTTTACAAGAGGAAATGATTACCCATCCCTGCCTTACATGACTTAATCAGAGATGGTGAGGTAACCTGAGCATCACTACTCACAAAGATTAGGAGGGGCTTAAGACAGTCGCTTCCTATACCCCAAAAGTAGAGGACAGGAAGGGATGATTTCCACTGTGAGAGCACAAATGTCACCCAAGGTGGGTCAGCAACCTTCAATTCTCTCCAGGCCTCCTTTTACTGACAAGGAAATGGGGCTTATTAAACTACTTCTGCTGAACAGCCCACTCCTTGCAGGGCCTATGGTGGAGTTCCTGGGGCATTTCTCCAAACTTAAATAATGAAGAACTTAGAGCCTCTTATGCTCAGTGGCATCCTCTGGATGCCAGTACTACTTGCTTGACACTCTTGCCTTGATGTTAACAGACTAAAGAAAATGCTGAAAATTCATCTGATAAAGTGCAGCACACTTTCATAATGAAAACAATCTTAGCTAACTAGAAAAAAAGAGGAAACATTTTTACCTTGACACAAAGTATTTACTAGACACTTAAAACGGCAACGTTTTCAATGGTGACATATTGGAAGTGTTCCTGTTACATAATCAGGGCCAACTTCACATTATACACAAAGAGTCCATTTTCATTGTGTCTCTTCAAAAGCTATAGAGGTTTCTGTCCCCTATATAAAGATAAGAATTGAGACATTAAAATATAAATGTCATATAGGAACAGGAAAAATTTCCATCACTTAAATACAAACAGTATTTATGAAATATAACAGAATCGAAGATGGCCGAATAGGAACAGCTCCAGTCTGCAGCTCCCAGCAAGATCAATGCAGAAGACAGGTGACTTCTGCATTTCCAACTGAGGTAACGGGTTCATTTCACTAGGACTGGTTGGACTGTGGGTACAGCCCACAGAGGGCAAGCTGAAGCAGGACAGGGCATCGCCTCACCCATGAAGCACAAGGGGTTGGGGGGTTTCCCTTTCCTAGCCAAGGGAAGCCGTGACAGACTGTATCTGGAGAAACGGTACACTCCTGACCAAATACTGCACTATTCCCACTGTCTTAGCAATCGGCAGACCAGGAGATACCCTCCCATACCTGGGTTGGCAGGTCCCATGCCCACAGAGCCTTGCTCACTGCTAGTGCAGCAGTCTGAGATGGACCGGCGATGCTGCAGCTGGATTGGGGGAGGGGTGTCTGCTGTTACTGAGGCTTGAGTAGCTCACAGTGTAAAGAAAGAGGCCTGGAAGCACAGACTGGGCAGAGCCCACTGCAGCTCATCAAGGCCTACTGCCTCTATAGATTCCACCTCTTGGGGCAGGGCATAGCAGAACAAAAGGTAACAGGCAGCTTCTGCAGACCTAAATGTCCCTGTCTGACAGCTCTGAAGAGAGCAGTGGTTTTCTCAGCATGGTGTTTGAGCTCCAAGAACAGACAGACTGCCTCCTCAAGTGGGTCCCTGACCCCCATGTAGCCTGGCTGGGAAACACCTCCCAGTAGGGGCCAACAGACACCTCAAACAGGCGGGTGCCCCTCTGAGATGAAGCTTCCAGAGGAAGGATCAGGTAGCAATACTTGCTGTTCTGTAGCCTCCTCTGGTGATACCCAGGCAAACAGGGTCTGGAGTGAACCTCCGGCAAACTCCAACAGACCTGCAGCTGAGGGGTCTGCCTGTTAGAAGGAAAACTAACAAACAGAAAGGAATAGCATCAACATCAACAAAAAGGACATCCACACCAAAACCCCATCTGTAGGTCACATCAAAGATCAAAGATAGATAAAACCACAAAGATGGGGAGAAACCAGAGTAGAAAAGCTGAAAATTCCAAAAAAAAGAGTGCCTCTTCTCCTTCAAAGGATCACAGCTCCTCGCCAGCAAGGGAACAAAACTGGATGGAGAATGAATTTAATGAGTTGACAGAAGTAGGCTTCAGAAGGTTGGTAATAACAAATTTGTCCGAGCTAAAGGAGCATGTTCTAACCCATTGCAAGGAAGCTAAAAACCTTGAAAAAAGGTTAGATAAATGGCTAACTGGCTAACTAGAATAAATAGTGTACAGAAGACCTAAAATGACCTGATGGAGCTGAAAACCATGGCACAAGAACTTCTGACACATGCACAAGTTTCAATAGCCGATTTGATCAAGTCAAAGAAAGGATATCAGTGATTGAAGATCAAATTAATGAAATAAAATGAGAAGACAAAATTAGAGAAAAAAAGAGTGAAAAGAAATGAACAAAGCCTCCAAGAAATATGGGACTATGTGAAAAGACCAAATATACGTTTGATTAGTGTACTGGAAAGTGACAAGAAGAATGGAGCCAAGTTAGAAAACACTCTTCAGGATATTATCTGAGAGAACTTCCCTAACCTAACAAGGCAGGCCAATATTCAAATTCAGGAAATACAGAGAACACCACAAAGATACTCCTCAAGAAGAGCAACCCCAAGACACATAATTGTCGGATTCACCAAGGTTGAAATGAAGGAAAAAATGTTAAGGGCAGCCAGAGAGAAAGGTTGGGTTACCCACAAAGTGAAGCCCATCAGACTAATAGCGGATTGCTCAGCAGAAACCCTACAAGCCAGAATAGAGTAGGGGCCAACATTCTACATTCTTAAAGAAAAGAATTTTCAACCCAGAATCTCATATGCAGCCAAACTAAGCTTCATAAGTGAAGGAGAAATAAAATCCTTTACAGACAAGCAAATACTGAGAGATTTTGTCACCACCAGGCCTGCCTTATAAGAGCTTCTGAAGGAAGCACTAAACATGGAAAAGAACAACTGGTACCAGCCACTGCAAAAACATGCCAAATGGTAAAGACCATTGATGCTATGAAGAAACTGCGTCAATTAATGGGCAAAATAACCAGCTAACATCATAATGACAGGATCAAATTCAAACATAACAATATTAACCTTAAATGTAAATGTGCTAAATGCCCAAATTAAAAGACACAGACTGGCAAAATGGATAAAGAGTCAAAACTCATCAGTGTGCTGTATTCAGGAGACCCATTTCATGTGCAAAGACACACATAGGCTGAAAATAAAAAGATGGAGGAAGATCTACCAAGCAAATAGAAAGGAAAACAAAAAAACAGGGGTTGTAATCCTAGTCTCTGATAAAACAGACTTTAAACCAATAACAATCAAAAGAGACAAAGAAGGCCACTACATAATGGTAAAGGAATCAATTCACCAAGAAGATATACTGTACTAAATATATATGCACCAAATACAGGAGCATACAGATTTATAAAGCAATTCCTTAAAGACCTACAAAGAGATTTACACTCCCACACACTAATAATGGGAGACTTAAACACCCCACTGTCAATATCAGACAAATCAACAAGACAGAAGGTTAACAAGGATGTCCAGGATTTGAACTCAGCTCTGGACCAAGCAGACCTAATAGACATCTACACAACTCTACACCCCAAATCAATAGAATGTACATTCTTCTCGGCACCACATCATACATATTCTAAAATTGATCACATAAATGATAGTAAAACACTCCTCAGCAGATGTAAAAGAACAGAAATCCCAACAAACTGTCTCTCAGACCACAATGCAATCAAATTAGAATTCAGGATTAATAAACTCACTCAAAACCACACAACTACATGAAAAACTGAACAACTTGCTCCTGAATGACTACTGGGTAAATAACGAAATGAAGGCAGAAATAAAGATGTTCTTTGAAACCAATGAGAACAAAGACACAATGAACCACAATCTCTGGGACACATTTAAAGCAGTGTGTGGAGGGAAATTTATATCACTAAATGCCCACAAGAGAAAGCAGAAAAGATCTAAAATTGACACCCTAACATCACAATTAAAAGAACCAGAGAAGCAAAAGCAAACAAATTTAAAAGCTAGCAGAAGGCAAGAAATAACTAAGATCAGAGCAGAACTGAAGGTGATAAAGACACAAAATAAACCCTTCAAAAAATCAATGAATCCAGGAGCTGTTTTTTGAAAAGATTAACAAAATAGGTAGACCACTAGCAAGACTATTAAAGAGGAAAGGAGAGAAGAATCAAATAGATGCAATAAAAAATGATAAAAGGGATATCACCACCGGTCCCACAGAAATACAAACTACCATTAGAGAATACTGTAAACACCTCTATGCAAATAAACTAGAAAATCTAGAAGAAATGGATAAATTCCTGGACACATACACACTCCCAAGACTAAACCAGGAAGAAGTTGAATCTCTGAATAGACCAATAACAGGCTCTGAAATTGAGGCAATAATTAATAGCCTACCAACCAAAAAAAGTCCAGGGCCAGACAGATTCACAGCCGAATTCTACCAGAGGTACAAAGAGGAGCCGGTACCACTGCTTCTGAAACTATTTCTATCAATAGAAAAAGGGAATCCTCCCTAACTCATTTTATGAGGTTAGCATCATCCTGATACCAAAGCCTGGTAGAGACACACACAAAAAAAGAGAATTTTGGGCCAATATCCTGATGAACATTGATGTGAAAATCCTCGATGAACATTGATGTGAAATCATCCATAAAATGCTGGCAAACCGAATCCAGCAGCACATCAAAAAGCTTATCCATCATGATTAAGTGGACTTCATCCCTGGGATGCAAGGCTGGTGCAACATACGCAAATCAATAAACATAATCCATCACATAAACAAAACCAATGACAAAAATTATATGATTATCGCAATAGATTCAGAAAAAGCCTTCAAGAAAATTCAACAGCCCTTCATGCTAAAAACTCTCATTAATCTAGGTATAGATGGAATTTATCTCAAAATAATAAGAGCTATTTATAACAAACTCACAGGCAATATCATACTGAATGGGCAAAAACTGGAAGCATTCCCTTTGAAAACTGGCACAAGACAAGCATGCCTTCTCTCACCACTCC